AATGAACATTTTCACATTGCCATACCCATGCAATATACCTCTTTGCCTACTAAACCATGAATCTTCCTGTCATACACCTACCATTCTTTAGTACCTCATACCAATATTACTTCCTTTCTACAGCCTTTCTTACTCTCCCAGACATAATTAACTCCTCCTCTCTGTTCCCACAGCACCATTATAAAAGCATTTTCATGTTGTCAGAATTGTTTATTCACATGTCTGTTCCCAGCAATCCTTTGACTCTTTTCTTTACTCCACCCACTAGGACTGTAAACTGCTAAAAGGTAATAAAGAAATCTTTGAGGGGGTAAAGAGACAGCTTTGAAAGATGAAGGATCAGGATTAAGATTCTGGCAAGGGCCCTCCCAAGCAACATAACCATAGACAGTAAGATAGTACGGATACCTAATAAAGCTCATGTAAAACATAAGTGAAAACTGTACATATAAAACAACTAATACAACTACACACACTGGCAATCAATCAATAAACGCTGAATGAACAAATGAATAAATTTTACGTATTTCTAAGGACAATGATTTAATGTCAATTTAAAAGAAAGGGATGGTCAGAAAGCAGGGGGGAGAGGAAAGCAGTACAAATGAGAATTTCTCCACACACAATACTTTCCAGGGAAAACATAATTCAGCATATACAAATCACTAAAAAATTTTCTTCCCAGGAGATGGCCAGTTTACCACAATTTATCCTAGATTAGAAAAAATCTCTCCAAAGCCATTGTCTAGCTCTCTTTTGTTTCGATTCCACGCTTATTTATGAAACCTTCCAATTACAGACTTATTGCTTGAGTAACTTGAGAACGAAAAGGGTATTATGAACAATGGCTACAATACTATCTTCACTGAAAAGAAAATATCCCTTCACTCAGAAAATTAAAATGTAAAATCAAGTAGATGACAAGATGAAATCCTATTACCAGGCCTGCCAATCTTAGGCACATCTTTACTAGGCCAAGTATTACATTTATTTCATACTCAACATTAGTGTATAGGCTTTTAAATCACAAGATTCAGGTAAATCACAGTTTTTAAATTAACCAATAGTCTTAATTCCATTCTTACCAAACAGCAAAAACATGTATCCATAATCCCTATCAGTTCAGGCAAGGTGAGATCTTTAATTTTAATAGTGCCATCCTAAAAAGGAGGAAGAATGTGACATATAAGCAGAAATTTTTTTAAACATGGTTACTATGTATAGTAGCATTCTGGATTTCTAACATTCAATATTTAAAAACAGCAATTCTAAGAAAATGCTATCTATCATCTGATAAAACTATTACACCAAATTAACTCTGTATTCTTAAAAACTATCATCTTATAAATTTTATTTTTAATTGACATAATTGTAAAAGCAATATATCTTAGGTCTTCAATAAGAAAAATCTAAACAATAAAGGCCTTTATATAAAATGAAAAGACAAATCAACAAGTATTTTAAAAGCAGTTCAAACCAGCTTTAAGTATTAATATAAATCATTTTAATGACCCAAAACTACTTAGAAAGAAAACTAAAGATTTTTTAAAACACTTAAGTTAGTTAACTATATTACTTGCAAATTTTGTTTACAATATTCATTTGCTCAGCAAACTTTTCTTTATAAAATATGTAAAATCAAACTCTATTGCAAGTATAAATGAATTTCTAAAGCAACTTTAAATTCACTACCACAAGTATTTTACTTGTGCAAATTTACTGTTATGTATTAACATATTAATACACAAAATTTAACCCCCAAGCCAATTTTCCTATTTGAATATAGAGTCAAATGCTTTCAAAAATTAATTTTAAAAGTACACAAATGCACAAATTTAGAGCAAGAGATTAATGAAGACCTTAATTTTCAGATTTTAACATATAAAGGTTGTAACTAATTCTTGTTTATATACTTGAGCTGCTTTGAAGGAAACAGACTTTAATACAACGTTCCATTTCATTATTAAGCACAATGTTTTAACATAAAATAACAAAAGATAAAAGGAAACACAAAAAGTACATTGGTGACTACCTTGATAGCTTGTTCAAAATTGAGAACTTTTCGATTAACTTGGTTTCCAATCATGCCAGCATCCATCTTGGGATCCATCATTTCAATAGCAGACATGGCTTCAAAAAGACCAAATCTGCAAATAAAAAAATTAAGTCCACAGATTGTTTTTGAGCCAGTAAGCTTATTCATATTTTCACAATGGTATAAAATTATACTACTTTTAATAACTATTCTATGTATTCAGTCTTCTCAACTTGCTAACACTTCTACTTCAATTAACTGTCGATTGATACAAAAATTATTTCATGTACTTGCCACTCAAA